GGTGTGAGAACGGACCGCCGCCAGAGGCTCCCACGGCGCGCATACCTGGCCGGACAGCGGCCTGACCAGGACGTCATTGCGGCCGGCCCGACCCGACCCGCGGCCCGGCGGCCGCTCGCCTGCCCGCTGACCGGGTCGTGTCGGCCGGTGACCGTCGGTGGCCGGGGGACGGCGGCGCCGGCGGCTGCCGCGCGCCGCCTGCCGGCCGGCCGTCGGCGGCCCTGGCCGGCGCGGCTGTGATGTGGCACGGCCATCCCGGCGGCCGGCCGGCGCCGCTCGAGCGCTGGCGGCGGCGCATCCCGGCGCGCCGCGCAGTGTCGGGCGTTGCCACCAGTCCACGGCCGCGCGGCCGCGTCCGGCGCCGCCCGCGTCACAGTCAGCCGCCAGCGGTCGCCGCGCGCTGCGAGTGTGAGTGCAGTGAGAGGTGCCGGCGAGCGCCGCCGCCGGCCGTGGAGCGGCCGCCGCCTCCGCGTCCGTCCGCCCGACCGGTGACCTTGCCCGTGGACTGACCACACCGGGCCTGACTGGACCCTCGCCACCGCTGCCGCGGCCGTCGTCGCTGCCGCCGCCGCCACCCGCCCACGCGCCGCGCCGCCACCTGTGGCTGTTTAGCGGCAGGCAGGCCCCGGGCAGGGGCAGATGCGGCCGCCGGCGGGGTCGCAGTGTAGCCGCCGGCGCGGGGTCGGCAGTCGGCGTGGGAACGGCGCCCTTGGTCGGGCCGTTCGGACATCGACGCCGCGCGTCCGGCCGGGAGCGGGTTGCCACGCCGCCGGGCGGGGTCCTCCCGCCGGCCCGAGCCGCGTGTGGTCCCGGACATCACGGTTAGCTCTCCGCCTGCCGCCGCGGCCAAACCCAGCACCGTGACGGCGCGACCTCCCGGATGTCCGGCCGGCAGCCGGTCAGGCCCCGCTTCCAACAACAGGGAGCCAACGTCGGTTCGTGTCTGACAACAGGGAGCCGGCTCCGGCCCGTGTCTGACAATGCGAGTCAGCGCCGGTCCGTGACTGGCAGTACGAGTCGGCGCCAGTCTGTGTCTGACAACACGGAGACGGCGCCAGTCCGTGCCTGACAACAGGGAGGCGGCGCCGGTCCGTGTCTGACAACGGAGTGTCGGCGTCGGTCCGTATCCGACAGTATGAGTCGATGCCGGTCCGTGTCTGACAGTGCGAGTCAGCGCCGGTCCGTGTCTGACAGTACAAGTCGGCGCCAGCCCGTGTCTAACAGTACGAGTCGGCGTCGGTCCGTTTCTGATGCGAGTTGGCTTCAGTCCGTGTCTGTCAACAGGGAGTCGGCGCCGGTCCGTGTCTGACAGTACGCGTCAGCGCCGGTCCGTGTCTGACAGTACGAGTCGGCGCCAGCCCGGGTCTGACAGCACGAGTCAGCGTCGGTCCATATCTGACAACGGGGAGGCGGCGCCGGCCCGTGTCTGACGACAGAGAGTCGGCGTCGGTCCGTGTCTGGCAGTACGAGTCGGCGCCAGCCCGTGTCTGACAGCACGAGTCAGCGTCGGTCCGTGTCTGTCAACAGGGAGTCGGCGCCGGTCCGTGTCTGGCAGTACGAGTCGGCGCCAGCCCGTGTCTGACAGCACGAGTCAGCGTCGGTCCATATCTGACAACGGGGAGGCGGCGCCGGCCCGTGTCTGACGACAGAGAGTCGGCGTTGGTCCGTGTCTGAAAACAGGGACTCGGCGTCGGTCCGTGTCTGACAGTACGAGTTGGCGTCAGTCCGTGTCTGCCAGCAGGGAGTCGGTGCCGGTTCGTGTCTGACAGTACGAGTCGGCGTCGGTCCGTGTCTGACAACGGGGAGGCGGCGCCGGCCCGTGTCCGACAACAGGGACTCGGCGTCGGTCCGTGTCTGGCAATACGAGTTGGCTTCGGTCCGTGTCTGACAGCAGGGAGTCGGCGCCGGTCCATGTCTGACAACAGGAAGTCGGCGTCGGTCCGTTTCTGGCAGTGCGAGTCGGTGCTGGTTCATGTGACAGCACGAGTCAGCGTCGGTCCGTATCTGACAACAGGGAGGCGGCGCCGGCCCGTGTCTGACAACAGAGAGTCGGCGTTGGTCCGTGTCTGACAACAGGAACTCGGCGTCGGTCCGTGTCTGACAATACGAGTTGGCGTCGGTCCGCGTCTGACAGCAGGGATTCGGTGCCGGTCCGTGTCTGACAACAGAGAGTCGGCGGTGGTCCGTGTCTGAAAACAGGGACTCGGTGCCGGTCCGTGTCTGACCATACGAGTTGGCGTCGGTCCGTGTCTGCCAGCAGGGAGTCGGTGCCGGTCGGTGTCTGACAATACGAGTCGCCGTCGGTCTGTCTCTGACAACACGTGTCGGCGTCGATCCGCCTCCGCCAGCGCCTCTCGCTTCTGAGCGGCCTACTCCAAGCCTCACGCCGTTCGGCCGGCCCCGGGCGCGTCCGGCCAGCCCGGCGCGGCCGCCCCGCCGCCGTCGGCCGGTGCTGACATCTGTGTGGGCCGCGCGCAGTCGGCGCCGGCGGGCGGTGACTCACGCAGCCTGTATCGTGCGTGGGCACGGACAGCCTCGCCCGATAATGCTGGTCACGGCTGGCGGACGCGGTCCGCGGCGCACTTGGGTCTGGCACCGCAGGAGCAGCCAGATCGCGTGGATGGCAGTGCGGTCTGGTTCTTGGTGCGACGTCTCGACTTTCATTCGACCTGAAAATGCAAGCATTTGTATCGAGCACTGTGCTTACTTGTTCCGAAGACTTGGGTTTCTTTGGAGCGTAGGATGGATGTGCAATCTACCAGCCTTGAGTTACGTCCCAGTCAGCCTACGAATGCCCAAGCGTTTGACGGGATTGTCTGCATGAAAGACCTCTCAGGGAAAAGGAGAAAATATGTGCCGGTCATTTCGTTGCAATGCTTGGTTGGTGACCACATAAACTGCCGAAAACACCAGCGGGAATGTTCCCACATGGTCCGTGTTCGTCGGCCGCCAGCGGAGCAGCGGTCGTCGGACACGGGCTCTGCATCCATTGGCCGTTCAGAGCATCAGACGGCCCGTGGCGGTCCGCAGTACAGCGACGTCCGCTCGTCTCAGATAGCTGGTCATTGGCTTCTGCTTTAATGATGGCTGAGTAATCTGCTTTTTGGTTCGCAGAGGAGATTAATGCGACCGGCTTCTTCCGTTGCTATGTATTCTCGATGTTTGTGGAAACAACGCAGACAGTGTGTTTGGCATAATCCGACTGTCTCAGCCTGTCCAGCTTGTCTCAGGCAGTTTTAGCCTGTATCAGCCTATTTCTGCCTGTCTCAGCCTGTTAAGCCGCTTCACTCGCTTCACCGGTACGTCGGTGTCAAGAGCAGACTCCTGTTCAGCGTTTTCAGCCTTTCTCAGCCTGTTTTGGCCTGTCTCAACATGCCTAGCATGTATCAGCCTGCTCTTCCTGGTCAGTGTGCTCGGACTGGCACAGTCTGTTTCTGCCTGCGAGTCGTCAGTTATCCTGCTCGCGATCGGTCCGCAACCTCTTTGCTGTCGGACCTGGCTCGACGCCGCGGTCGTTCGGAGCGTGCTGTGAGAGCGATCTCCGCGCCGTCAATCTCTGTGTGGTCATCTGTAGCAGCTGTCAGCCCTGTGTCCTGTGGTTCTCTGCGCTGTGTCGCGACCTTGACCGTACAACCTTGACCGTAAGACCTTGACCGCTCTCTGTTGCCGCCCTGACCCCTCTGTTGCCCAGCTCCGCCCTCCGCCCAGCGCGCCGCCGTCGCCGGCCCCGGAGGCCCGACCTGGCCCGGTTCAGAGCCGTGCTCCCCGCGGGCGGAGCGCGGGTGTGCGTGACGCCGCCGTTTGTCAGGTGTCAGTCGGGTGTCAGCGGCGGTGGCGCCAGCCGTGCCGCCAGCCTGCCGACTCGCTCCCCTCCTCTCCCCTCCCCTCCCGTCCCTCTCCCCCTCCCCCCGTGGTAGGCCGTCACGGTCCGCCCGCGGCCTGCGTCGGCGGCAGGGGAGGGGTGACCTCTTCCCCTCCACGCGCGCAAGGCCGCGGTGGACTGGCCCGGTCAGATCAGACCAGGGGCTGCTCTACCAGAGCGCTGCCCAGCTCCCTGTGGGCCTCTCTGGGTGCGTCGAACGCGCGTTTTGTGGTCTTTTGGGTGTTGGATTGATTTGGACGAGGACTTAATTTGACCGATGGCACCCAGTGTCGTCAGCCGTCGGTCGCTGGGCCGCTGAGCGACGTCCTGACTTGTCACTGGGCGGCTAAGCGACGTCCTGACTTGTCACTGGGCTGATGAGCGGCGTCCTGACTTGCCACTGGGCTGATGCGTCCTGCCAGCGGCGTCCTGCCGCACTGATCGTCAATAGCCCTGTTCCGCCAGGGTTCCAGGGACCGACGGCAGCTCTGCCCGCAGGAAGCGACGCGGTCCAATTTGCAATCATTACCCGACAGGGAGCCGTCCATTCGGAAGATCGACAACTAATCCGCGTCGCCTGGCGCTGCGGCGCCGCGTCGTAAGCGACGTTCCATTGGTCACGTCCGAGCGGCGCCGGCTCCTGATCGGATTTGGGCGTCGTGATTGGACGGCGGCGCGCTCCGTGGTCTCTCGTCATCTCGGCTCGGGGCCGGCGGGAGGTCGGCGGCGGCGCCCGTGCTGGCGCCGCGCCCCGCTTGACGGCGTCGGCCGGACGACGGCAGCTGCAGCGACCCTTCCGGTCCGGAGAGTCGCACGTCCTGCTCCGGCCGGCGCTCTCGCTGGCGCTGCGTTGGTCTCCGGAGCGCCCTGCGCCGAGACCGCGCTGTTGTTGGGGGATCAGGGCGGCCACGGCTCATCGGTGCGTCACAGATCGCCGATAGCGGCCTGTGGTGTGCTCCGCGTATCTAATCGGCGATGGCTGCGTGCGGCGGCGGGGGCCGGACGGCGGGGGGCGACGGTGCGCCCCTGTCGGGCTGGACGGGGGCGGCGGGCGGACGTGACGCACGCGCGCTCCACAGTCGGCCGGCGGCAGCGCTGCGACGTCGCGGCGAAGCCTTACGGACGGGGTGCCGGGTGGGGCCGCGGGGCCTGCGCGCGCGGCACGAGCCGCCGGCGCCGGCGGGCTGAAGATGAGGTCGCTCTCGCGCAGCTCGGTGAAGATGGAGCCGAGCGACACCGACTCGCTCACCGACGGCGAGGTAAGTGCGGCTGGCGCGGGAGAGGCGGCCGACGGTCTGGCGGGGTGCCGACTGGCACCGCTGCGCTGCGTTGGACCAGGGCTACAAAGCCGAGAGGCTGTTCTGATGGGCGCCAGATCACCAATGTGATCAGGCGATGGACTCAAAATGCTGAGCAGCCTATGTCTGGCTAGCATGAGTGACGCGGCGAACCGTACAGAGCGCCCTCAAGGCCGGAGAGTGGCGCCGACCCTGCAGTGCGTAGCAATGTCCTGTCTGATGCGTGGCCAGCGTATGGGCTGGTGTCAATGTGCTGCTTTTATGCATGACTTTCAAGCTTCGCAGAAACGGTCCGGCGCCCGTGTCGGGTGTCTATGCAGCATGAGCGACTGGTGACGCGCGGCGGCCAAAGACCACCATCTGTGGGAGGTGTTACTGGGGTGGGATAGGGGGAGGGGGCTGCGGGCGTTGGGCGCGCTGTACACCTGTGTGACCCCGCGGAGCCGGTCGATGTGGCCTTGAACCGTCAGTGGAACGACCGACATTGCATGTGTGGTACCACTCAGCGGCGCTCCCAGCGCATGCGCGCTGATTTCTCAACGCTGAAGCATTTCTGCCCGCGTTTCGCGGGTTGCCTGTCCAGCATGACGAAGCGGCGTCTTATCGCGGCGTCACATCGGCTTCACGTGCGGAGCGTATCTCTTCAGAGCTCGGAGCATTCCTGCCAGCGCTGATCCGCCGATAACGGCATCTGTCCTCTCCTTGGGCCCCGGGATCTGGGTGCGGCGGTCCGCGTCATCGGGGAAGGTCAGCCGTCGGGCGTCGGGCGTCTCTGTCGCCGTGCTGAGGGTCGGCTGGAGCCGCTGGACACGGGACGCCGGGCAGGGCCTGCAGACGCAGGGAAGCTGGGACTGTGGCGCCTCTGTCGCCGTGCCGAGGGTCGGTTGGAGCCGCTGGACACGGGACGCCGGGCAGGGTCTGCAGACGCAGGGAAGCTGGTGACTGTGGCGCCTCTGTCATCGTGCTGAGGGTCGGCTGGAGCCGCTGGACACGGGGCGTCGGGAAGGGGCCTGCAAACGCAGGGAAGCTGGTGACTGTGGCGCCTCTGTCACCGTGCTGAGGGTCGGCTGGAACCGCTGGACACGGGACGCTGGGCAGGGCCTGCAGACGCAGGGAAGCTGTGGACTGAGGCGCCTGTCATCACACGTGCGCTGCACTTTTGGTACTTGGTACACACTCATTGGTACTTGGTACTTCACCCATTGAAACACTCGTTGGTAATTGGTATAACATTGCAGCACATGTGCGTGCCATTACGTTGTATTGGCGTTGGACCACGTTGGTGTTCCCCACAGGTAGATAAATGCTCTGGAGCCCCCCCCCCAAAAAAAATAACACAGGATCCGATGGCAAGACCCCATATACATGAGACTCGATGGTAGCCTGCATCCACCTTACGGAGCGTTCGATGCCGTTCCCGCATGAAGTATTCGTTACGTTGTCTTTGGATTTGTCTTGGGGACAAGTGACTTTGAATTACCCTACGATTATGAGCATTGAAGGAAGCAAACATGAACACAAACGACCATCCAAGTTGTCACACTACCTAGCCAGAGAAGCTATGTTAAGTGCAAAAGGCCGCGATCTCGTGGTCTGGCTTCGTTTGCACCCGCCCCACGCCTTCCTGTCCCGGCCTTGCTTCGGCCCTGCTCTCCCCCCCCCCCCCCCACGAGCGGGGGGTGGGGGCGCCCGCCGCGTGCCTCCACGTACGCGTCTGCTGGCGTCGGTCGCTGTGTCGGCGGCGGACAGGTGGACCCAGTGCGCAGATGTGAGGCGGCGCACGCCGCTGTCGGGCCCGGCTGGCGTCAGTCGGGGCTGCGCGCAGTCACCGCCGGCTGCCTGCCAGCGGGCCGCAAGGCACCGTCCCGAAGCTAGCATGGCCCTCGGCACGAGGTGACCCGTGCAAAGTGCAGGCGGCACCTCCGGGGCATGATAGTATTGTTTGAATGGAATGTTCCAAGTTGACGCATAGTTTTGAACTAAAATAGCCATATTGAAAACCTTTCGGTGCTGTTCACAAGCCTACCCTTCTAGTTCCTGAGCTACACACCCGCGAAAATGGGGGAGCTATGTGGGAGAGAGCATTTCAACGTCACCTGGCATTCATGACGCCATAATAACGTCATTCAAATCCTGCTGTTCCATAAGGCATACGGCGATCAGGGCTAAGGCAAATGTAATTGTCGAGGCGTTCATATCAGACGTTCGTCAGTGCGATTGCCCGATATAACGGTCTTCGATTCCTTTCCAATTCAGTTTCAATATAACGGCCTAACGGCTCTCAATCATTGTTGTGGAAGGTACGATGATGTTATCAAGCCATGATGCATTGAACAGCACATTTACTAAAAAGAGAATTGTGCCGTCTGGCGCCATCGTTTCCACTTCAGAAGCATACCAATAGTTATAAGTGAGCCTGTTTCATCATATCTGATGCTTGCTTCACTTTATTCGAACAAAGGCGAAGCATTTCCTTGAAGGGCTGATGTCACGGGTGCTAAGGGTGCGGGCTGACGTCACGGCGAACCGAAGGTCTCGTTATCTGCACTCAGCTGTGGGGAGCGCGCTGACGTCCTGTGCCGTATCAGCGTCGGTGACGTATTGTTCAACGTCATGGCCGTTATCCGCCGGGCGACAAAGACGTCCCCGCTGCAGCACCCACTTCGTCACAATGCTCGACACGAGGCAGCTCTCTCTCCGCCTATCGGGGTGTCCTGCACCCCTCCAGCGTTGTGTGGGGTTCAAGAGCGCGACCGCAGGGTTCGCGACGCTGGCCGGTTCTTCTCGCCATAGCCGTATCACAGTCAGATTTGTCAGATTGGTAAGGGCACGTCCCCATGTCATATATGTCAGCTGCACGTCCGGAGAGGGGTTCGATTTGCGCGGAGCGGTGCGCGGAGCAGGCTGCTTCGGTGCGACGTTGTGTGGAACGGAGACTCGCTCTGCACGCCGCTGTCTCGGGTGGCTGCGCCATCTATACGGATCTGCACCTTGGAAGGCGGCTCCACCTGTACGGATCTGTGCCACGATAGGATTCTTTGTAGGCGATTATCTGTACCGAGAGAGGGCTTCGTCTGGGGACAATGTTCCGCGAGAAGCCCCCCCCCCCCCCCCATCTGCTCGGCTCTGCGCGGCAGGGCGATGTTGCGCATATGAGGCGCTGTGCCACGACAGCAGGCTCCACAGAACGCGATGTGGCTGGAAAGAAGACACCAATGCGTGCTCGCCCCGGAAATGGTTCCATCTGTTTTGCTCTCTGTCTCGGGACTGAGGCGATTCTCGAGATTGGATGTCTCCGTGTAGCCAGAGAATACCCCATTCACGCGATCCGTGTGGCTAGCTATGGATCCGTATGCCGTACTCTCTGTGAAGGGCTTTGTGTCTTGAGGGGCAGCTCCACCTGTACGGCCATGTCTAGAAGTGCCATCGACACACCGTCGTGCAGCGGGAGGTGGCGTCATCTGCACCGCTCCGCGTGTCTGGAAGAAGCTTCATTTAAACGGATCTCCGTGGAGAGAGACGGATCCATCGGCACAGCCCTGCCTCTGGAGAGGAGCTCCTCTTCGTTCTACCACGTATTGTGTACTTGTGTACTTGTGTACTACCCTGGATCTCGAGAAAAATCGCACGGCTGCGCGTTGAGAGGGTTTCCATCCGTGCGGTTCTGTGCGTGTCTAGTGAATGCACATTGGTGTGGCCCCGTGCCCCTGGAGGAAGCGGTATCGGTGCGACTGCGGCTCAAAAGATCCATCGGTATTGTTTTGTGTCTCGAGCGGAGACCCCATCTGTGCGTGCGGAGTATCGAACTTCATCTGTGCCGCTGCGTCTCAGTGGGAGGCTCCATCTCTGGGGTCTTGATCTCAAGAAAACCCCTATTTATGCTAGGCTTGCTCTGGAAGGAAAGTTTGATCTGTACATTTCCGCGCCTTAAAAGTGCTCAATCGGTTCTGTTTTGTGTGTGGGAAGAGGCCTCATCTGTGAGGCTGGGTATTTCAAGAAGATGTTTCATCCATACTACTCTTAAAAGTTCCATATGTTGTGCTCCATACGTCGAGAGAAAACCCCACCTCTTCGACTCCGCGCGTTGAAAGGAGCTTTGTGCTTAGAAAGAACGCTCCATCGGCCCGCTCCATCTCCATACCTCGAGAGCTGGCCTCAGCCGCATGGCTGCACGCGTGTCCAGAGGAGGCTCCTGGAGTGCCCGGCGCGTCTCGAGAGGGGGCTGCACCCGTACCGGTCTGTGTGCTGAGCGTGTCGGCAGGCGAGGCGGCGCGGCCGGTCACGCGCCTCGAGCCGGACCGCCGGCGGCTGACGCGCGGGCACCGGCACGTCCGCTGCCCCGGCGCCCCTCCGGCCTCGGGAGGTGCAACAGGGTCCCGGTCGGAAATGCTCGGCACCTGGCCGCGGCGGCCGCCGGCGCAGTGGCGGCGCGGGGCGTGGAAACGACCAGGGCCGCGCCGGCCGGGGCATACAGACGAGCTGATTTGCTCACCGGGTTATTCGCTATGCATGAACTGAGACCAACCGGAGCGACACTGGAGCTCATTCGAAATGGCACATGAACGCCGAGTGGAACCCGGTACGCGGAAGCCATCGCGCTGCCTGCAGCCGGGGGTGATATTGTGGCTGTCGGGCCGGCCGTTTTGCGCAGTCCCTCGTGCTGGTAGGCTGACGTGTCATCGGCGTTAGCTGGCGTTGTTTTGCAAGGTGAGTTTCGAAAGCAATGCCACCCGGCTGCACTGGCTTGCCCGCCCGTCAGCTGGTGACGGCCGGATACCGGCGCTGCCGAGGAGCTCATGTGTTGCATCCGCCGATTATTGTCGCGGCACTCTCGTGCGGAGCGCCTCACGCAGTCACGAAGGCCGGCCGGTCCGTACCCCCGGCACGTGAGCGGCGCTCGGCAGCGCCGGGTCCATGCCGCGGGCTGCCGGGTCGGCTGACGCCGCGCTCCTGCACCGAGG